TTGGGAAATATATATTATACAATGGAATTGTTTAAGTTACTTGTTAATATCCACCTCAACTGTGTACTTTAATGATGCTCTACCACTGAGCTATAGCCTCAGTTCTTTGCTGTTTTTTATTTTGAGAAAAATTCTCACTAAGCTACCCACGATGACTCAGGCTTGTTATCCTCCTGCCTCAGCCCCCTGAGTGGCTGGGATTACTACTGGAAAAAACATATTCTCACCTTCTTAGAAAGGAAGCCCAGGAAGGGGAATAAAGGGGGTAACTGTTAACATTAATAGTAGTTTTGATGTTGAAAATAAAACACTATAAATTAAATGTCAAATGAGGTGAGGCATTTTAAAATTTCTCTGATTTGCCTGTTTTGAAAAAGTTTGCTGTGGGATGAGTTCAGCTAAATTTTAGAATCCCTGAAACAAAGGTTTTCATCTTAGTTATCTCAACATGAGCTCATGCACGCACACATAGCCTCCCAACACAAGCCACTCAGGTTGGAAAAAATGAATGGGTAAATAAAATATGACATAAATAGAGATTGGAGTATTATTCAGCCACAAAGAAGCATGAAATTATGTCATCTGAAGCAAAATGGATGGAACCAAAGGATACAATGTTAAGCTAAATAGACCAGACACAGAAAGATGAATATCATATGTTTTCTCTTATATATGGAAACAAACAAAAAAGATGGTCTGAAAGCAGAAGAGAGACTACTAGGAAAGGGGAAAGTGGTGCAGGGGGAAGAGAGGGCAAGCGAGGGTAGACAGGAGGATGGATATGCTCAAAACATAGTATGTGCGCATATGGAAATGTCACAGTGAAACCCATAATGTGTACAACAGTTACTCATTAATAACTAATTTAACTCATTTAAAACTGCCCTTCTTGGAAAATGGGGTGAAAACTTGTGTTGCTAGGTGTGCTTATCCCATGTACATAGAAACACATTGTATGTCTGTGACGTGTCTGAAAGAACTCTCTTAAGATAAAGACAGTTAAGAATTTAAGAAGTGAGAACAGTAACAAAGGAAAAAATACATTTATAGATCTCTGCCAGACACATACTGAAAAGCTCTAGAAAAGCCAGACATATTTCCTATTAATCTCTGATAAGAATAACAGCTTAAATATATATTGACTTATATAACATGTATACATTATATTTTAAGAATGCTAAAATGTGATGTTTATCCTTGGGACTCAAAATGTTGTTTACACACCATTGTCACCAGTGTCGCCCAGAAGCTGTGCAACATTCAGCCAAGTCCAGGCCACTGATGCAGAATCTGCATTTTAACGAGATTCCCAGACAATTAATGTCCTCTTTAAGCATCGAATGTTACAGGAGGCCTAGTCCATTTTCTGCATTGTTTGCTAGAAGAAATATTTCTGCTAATTAAAGCCATGATGTATAAAACTATTAGTGCAATGATTCTTAAAGTTTGAACCAGATTTAAAGTTTCTAACTAGATTTTAAAATCATCCAATAATCAGTAACATTCTTAAAAAGAACAAGAAAGCAATCTGTTCCTTTATTATAATGGGCATATAGTCAAGGTGGAAACTTAAGTATTGTTCAAAATAACACCACAGTAGTCATTTATTTGATATGCATTTTATGTCTGAAGTAGAAAAATCTTAATCCTAACTTCATAGGACAAATATATGACCATGAACTAAAGGCAATCAGTAATTTAATAATTGATTAAATGACTACTTCTTAAAAAGTTAAAAAAATCTCCAAGGTATTTTTATTGGCACTAAACATCTCTCTTCCTTATCTCTCTTTTGAACTTCTTATTTCAATCCCATTTCAATCCAAGGGGAATCTAAGGTGACTTCTCCATATCAGGTCAATGGAAGAATTTGGATTGTGCCCTTCTCCACTGGGTTCCTTAATTCAGTAACAAGGAAGAAGGGGCCCTGCCTTCTCCTCCCTCTCTAGGTATCAGGAAGGAAGCTGGTCCTCTTCACCAAAGAGAAACAAATTTAAGCTGGGCCAGTAGCTCAGTGGTATAGCACTTGCTTAGCACACACAAGACCCCTGGGTTCAATCCCAAACAAACAAAACTTGACTACTACACAGAAATAGTTAAAAGAATAAAAGGAAACAAAATGCTGGACAGCCACAACTTGGATAATGAACTTCAATTAAGGATTCTAGTAAGATAGTGAAATTGTCCTAGCCACAAAGACAACTATTTCTATGGAAAATAAATTTTGTGGTAATCAGAAATTAGAATTTCATGGAATAAAAGGCTACCTGCTAGCCAAATATGATGGCACATGCCTGTAATTATAGCATCCTGGGAGGCTGAGGCAGGAAGATTGTAAGTTTGAGCTTGGCCTGGACAATTTAGCTAAGTAGTGAGATTCTATCTCATAATAAACAAAATTTAAAAATAAAAAGAGCTAAGGGTGTAGCTCAGTACAAAGGCCCTGAAATCCATTTCCAGTACCCAAACAAAAAATATTAAGATTATCTGCTACCTCAGGGCTACTGTGGATATATGACTGTTTTCCATAATACATTTGGTCCTGTTGCAAAGTCAAAGTTACTGAATATATGTTTGCACAAATGCACACACAATCACAAAAAAATATACATACAGACAGATGTGTGTTTTTCATAATAATTTCATAAAAACAAAGCCTTTTAAGAAACCACCTAAACATTGAAAAATCTTCATAATTTAAATTGTAAGGTCATGTTATAGTTGAGTTGAAAAGAAATCTCTTAGCTGAAATTAAAAGCAACCACTGAATTAGTTATGTACTCAGCAAGATACAAATAAACCTCCTTCACGTACAGCCACATCATCATTGCATATGTAATTTTAAACAGGCAGCTTTATGTCTTCATTATAGAACTTGGACTTTGTGACAGTTACATGTTAAGCAGTTTTCCACCGCTCTTTTAGCCAGTAAAGGATGAAAGACAGCATTATGCAGACAGAAAGCAAGACTTAAACTTCAGAAAATCTGGCTGAAAAATCTGGTTTTGTCCTGTAGTTTTGTGGTCTTGGGATATTTCTTAGCCTCTCCTCGGAATCTTAGTTTTCTCATCTGAAAAAGTGCTGTTTTGTGACTACAGCAAAAGATTAACACACATGTTGCTAAAAACCATATGAACTAGTATAATTATTACTATTGAGATATGAAAATGGGAACCACCATTTCCACAAAAACATCACTTATTGCTTAAAAACCTCGTTAAAGATATTTCTCTTGCCTTTGTCAATTCTCCCATGGAGAGGTGCTATTAAATTTTAAGTGATTAAAAACAAACTCATATTCAATCTGCAAAGTCTATCCAATGTTAAAAAATGTTTTAAAATTAAGGCATCAACTTGATTAGGCTTATCATTCAGTGATATGCATTGAAAATCCTTTCCCACTTCTCAAATATTTAAGTCCCTCTCCTGCTTCCATAAGTGGCCTCAGGGAAGAGACAGGTTCAAGTAGAGGATTTAGTCACATTAGTGTTACATTAGAAGAGGCTTTGAAGAAATAGCATCAGCATACAGTCTGCCAGAATAGCCCTGTGATCACGGTGGGCATAATATCTAGAATAAAGTAAGAATAAAGTAAGCTTAACTTGTTACCAAAAATTCCCCCTAAAGACCCTGAGACCCTGGTTTTGCTGCCATCTGAAGTTGACGTGCTGTCCAGAAATTCTTCCACTGGTTGCAGAGATACAGTTATAAATCCACTGCAGATGGAGGGATAGTATCTGTGTTGATATTTGTCTGCACTAACAGAAATGACACTTGGACACGGTGACTTTACAGCATGTCTAAAGTCAATTTTGTGTATTTTCCAACTAAATCTCTGCTTCTGTAAGCAGGAAATAGTTTTTGTTGCATTTAAGGGATTTAAAAAAATTTTTTTGTATAAAGGACCTCAAACACAACTTTTCATGAATAGCCACATGATAATTCTGTTTGTGAACTTGTAACATATAGCTGATAAATACCACAGTCAGGTATGTATGTTGTACACTCACAAACTTAAGACAGGAGACCACCTGTTTCAAATGCATTCTACACTAGCGACAATATGAACCAGAAAATTTTGCTTTTAATATTTGATTCTCTCACTAAGAATAACTATTAGTATATTCTTAGACAGAGATGGGAAATATGATATTTGCATATTCCTTGGTAGTATCACATTAATTTTCAGACTATATTAAAATATATTTAATCTATTTTCAATAGATATTTTTATATTCTTTTGTTGCTCCCCAAAATAATCAGATTGTAGCTCAAGAAACTGCAATAGTGGATCTAATCAATCCTATTTCATATGTAAATCAAAACCTACTTCATAATTCATTTGGACATATTGATATTCAAGGACATATTGAAAAACTGTAGTGACAAAAGCTGCTTTAGTTCTGGATTTACATGGCAAAATTTGAAAATTTGGTCTAGCTAACATAGGCAAACATGCAGAAGGAGTTGCATTTTTAGAAATGGGAAGGTTATTCATAAGAACAGTAATTGCTGAAAGCAAAAAGAATAAATTAGAATGGTTCTAGTGTTGGTAATTTATTACTGAATTCATGTTAATAAAAACAGGTCCTTTTCACACATAATTATGTAAACTATTTTTGTTGGCTTGAAAGAGATCCTATTCTGTTATATCCATGCAGCAATGAAGATCTACCTTGATTTTTTTTTTAAAGGCTGGAAAAAGTCATTCCTTGTCCATTTTTCTTAATAACTCAGATTTACTTGAAAATCCAGGTAAAAACTCTGGAACTTGTTTATGTAAAATTTCATAACATCATGGCTAGGCCATATTCCTTCCTTTCCACCAACCCCCAAACAAAATATAATACCACACTCCACCAAAGCAAAATAATGAACAGAGAGGCTGACCATTGTTTTTAAAGGGTGACAACACTGGTAACATTATTTTCACTTTAATGACTCAACTCATCTACATGATGTCATTGTTTCAGCAATGCTGAGTGCTTCGTTGACTTGAGGAAAACCATGGCAAAGGATTTAAAGGAAGCAGGTCGACTGCTGGCAGTGGAAGTGCTTGTCGTGGGCAGTGTCTTCTTAGGTGGAAGGCTGCTACACGTCACTGGGTGACCGCGCTCGCTGGGACAGACTGGGTGGGATGCAGCCACAGCAAATGAGGCAGAGGGCTTTCTGGATCTCTTGGTTTCTGAAAGCATATATGACAGGGTTGATGATGGAGTTGTAGGTGGCAGGCAGGAGGGTGGCATAGGTGTAGATGGAGGGGTAGGTGTAATCTGCTATCAAGGAATAGAGTGTAAAAGGCATCCAGCAAGCAGCAAAGGTCCCCATGATGAGAGCCAGGGTTGAGATCCCTTTCCGGGTGGTCACGTAGTGCGACGTGGCCAGGAAGTGGTGCTGCAGGGCTATCTGATGGGCATGCCTCATCACAATCTTACAGATCTGAATGTAGAGCTGAAGCATTAGCGCAAACATGAAGAGGAAAGAGACAGAAAGGATGGCAGCATTGTTCTTAGTCAGAGGTCTGACGACGCTGCACGTGGACTCGTCCTGAAGGCAGTTCCAGCCCAGGACTGGCAGCAGCCCCAGGCAGATGGAGGTCCCCCAGAGCATGACCAGCATGACATATGTAAAGGTGACCGTCCTCTCGGAATGATAAGTCAGGGCATAATAGAGAGAGAGGTAGCGGTCCACAGTGATAGCCAGCAAGCTGCAGACAGAGGCAGAGAAGGAGGTGACAATAAGTCCAATGGTGATCAGCTTGGTAGCTTCTGACTGAAGAAGGTAGGCAAAAACAAAATTGACGATGAGTCCAATACCGGCCAGCAGGTCTGCAAGAGCCAGGCTGCCTATCAGCAGGAACATGGGTGCTCTCAGGCTGGGGTTGTGGAAGATGATAAGGACCACAACGGCATTTTCACAGGAGATGAGGGTTCCCGAGGTGCACAGGACAATGTCCCAGGGGTTGACTACGAGCTCAGGCTCCGGCTCAGTAACAGGAGCCTGGGAGGAGACAGCAGCTGAGATGTTCTCCGCAGCAGCGGCATCTAAATATTCCCGAGGCAGCCCGCTTAAATTGACCTTCAGGTCTTCATTCATTTTAACCCCTGTCCTCTTCAACGAAAAGACAGGCTTTTTAATGTTTAGGCACAGCAGAGCAACAGTCTAACACCATGCAGAAACACACACACACACACACACACACACACACACGCACGCACGCACGCAGAAAGCCAGCCCCTACTCAGATACCAAGTATCAAATGCCACAAGCCCCGGGAATTATGGACCGTGGTGAAATAAAACAAAAGCCAAAGTCTCTGTGGATTAAATCCCACAACAAAAATGCTGTCTGGTCTTGGGTAGGGCACAGGGCAGGACTCCAAACACTGGCATGAGTGAGGCAGGCACACACAGACTCACAGCGGTGTGGGATGCACATCTGAGAATCACCTCTTGCACGCTGAAGACGGAACTGTTTCACATCTGGGCAGGTGCAGACCCCACCACGCAGCTGCCGCCAAGTGGTGAACCTGGACCGCCATTCTCGATGGAATAATTAAAGAGCCTCCAACTCCCACCTTCCAAAATCATCCCTCGCGCGTGCACACCCTCCAACACCGACCAGAACAAAGAGGGGGTCCCATACGCCCCCCGTGGGCACGGAGCAGCCAAGGAAGGCCACAAAAGGCAGCTGTGTGCGATGGAGGTGCTGAGACAGACAGACACACACAGACGGATGCCCATGCACTGCCACCGCTCCTCTCGCAGTGGGGACGGGCGGCGGACGAGGGGGGACAGACACGGGTGCCGGGGAGAGATCGAGGGGTCACCTTGGCGTGCCCGGGCCGAGGGGGCGCCTCCGCTGCTTCCAAAGAACGCGGGCTGCTACTGTCGCATGTCAGCG